AATCACACAGATGATCAGAAAATAAACTTTCGTTTATTTTGGGTAAGTGGGTAGTAAGCGTATATCTTTCGCAGTTTAACTATGGTTCAAATTATACCCAAAATCCACTATATTTTTAAAAAGGACCAGAGATATTATGAAGCAGAAAAAAATACAGAATTAAGGACTTTTATCAAAAGTCCAGTTATGCTATTGAAGAATATAAGTGTTACTAATCTTTGCTTAGAAAAGGGAGAGAGCGATTGAGACCGATTGAGAGAGAGTGAGAAAGGGTGAACGTAGCAAATAGCCATGGAGCGAGAGGTGGGTGAGAGCTATAGTGAGAAAGTTCGAGAAAAATACACGCTATTGGTTGATGTATTTATTTATTTACTTAACGGTATTCCTACAGCAACTTACGAATACTATACAATATTCAAAAAAATACACTATACACAAAAGCCAAAAACGGAATACACATTTAAACATACACAAAGCAGAGTTACACCTATACAAATACAAAAAAAAATACAAAGAATATATGTAATTATAATAAATTCTAAATTCTAAGATTCATAGTTCATTATAACATATTTAATATAAAGGAGGAATAACAAAGCCATTCTATCTAATAATGGATACTAGAGTTTTTATATAATTTCTTAAGCATTTTTTAGATACATTAAATATATCTATTTGCTGGTAATTTCTGTTATAATCTGAAGGTATACGATACATGACTGAGTTACGTAAATAGTTTGTATTAGACCGAGGAATTTTAAATAGTTGGGTTTGCCTAGTATTGTGTGGCTTAATTTTTTAGTTACATATACGCAGATTTTTTATTTATTTATAATATCATTAGCACGTATACAGTGTGTAAACAGTGTGAATATAGATATACAAATACATGGACTGATCATATACTGGTACATGATCATCTATTGGTGCTTTTACCTTAGTAATAATTAATTTACAATAAAGTTTCACTTCTGACATGTGTTCTTTGTACGCACGCACTTTTTTTTGAAAAAGCGAGTCTTAACTTACACAGTAACAAGCTAGTACCATCCAAAGACCACTGCGTTGCTTAAACCCCAAAGCTTCTAGCGAAACAGTTGCGAGTTGGTTTGCAGGATGTACAAGAAATAAAATGATATTGAATTTACGGAACTTCGAATTATAAAATTTTAATATTTCCGCTTAAAGATAGATGACATTATACCAACTGGACGATTCGTTTACGATGTAGTTATTGTACAGTAACCTTTAATTTACAAGTAATAAAATCTGACGGTCGTAATTTTGAAATGGGTTTATACTGATGTTTGATGACATTATAGGTGAAATGATTTATTTAATCTCGTTATAAATACGGCTTAATTTTGTTGATTTGTTTCGCTTGTTCTGTTTTTTTTCAGACAATTCACACCAATTGACCTAGTCACATGCTACTTGGCAACGGATATACATACATATTATAGATAGATAATATTTAAATACCCAAGACCTAAGCACAACACCAAATGCTCATCACATCGATGTTCGTCTCAGCCGGGGATCGAACCCGGGACCCATGGTTTCGCAGTCAGGGGTACTAACCACTAGACCAATGAGTCGTCAAAATTAAAATTAGAAGTTTTAGTACGCGTCTGACACTACGATTCAAGAGACAGGAGCTACTTCCGTCACCTGCGCAAGACTTGGTACTATCCCTTTTTTTTCATATCTGAGGTGAAAATCCGCAGCAGGGGTATGTGGTACCCACCGAACCTCTGATATTCAGAGACTGGGTGGGTAATACCCACTACCGCGGGTAGTTCCTACAAGGCCGCGTTGGGGAGGCTCCGGGGTCGCTCTCGCAGTCTACTCCCTCCACTATATAGGAGGTAGGAGATGGGCATATCTTCTCCTATTTACTCCGCATCTTGTAATTCTAGGATTCTCGGTGCTACACCTATAAGAATGACGACGCAGATATTCTTTCTTTACTCGATAATACATTTTAATTAAAGATACGCAAGCATATTCGTAAACCTTTTTAGTAATAATCCTTCTAAAATGGGACTTTCACTGTCAATTTTCTTTGTTTCTCTAAGTAACAGTTTGAAGATAGACGTGTTCAATAATATCACAATGTATATCGTGTGATTCCTAAAGAATTTTTAATTGCGTATAAATCAGCTAGTGAATCTTAAAGAAGAATTATCATATAAAAGTTCCTCAATAAAGCTGCACTCACTAGGGAATATTTTCCGAACAATTATCCCTCAAGGAAGTTACCGTTTTACATATAACCCCGCTTATTAACACTATAGAATGTGAAACCAGTTCATCTAACCATATAGTTGAACGCAAAAGACTCATATTATAAAAATGACCAGTAGCTGTAAACACAGCACATGGAAAATTAAATATACAAGTATTACGTAACGGATCCTAACTAATTATAGAACCTGCGGCGACCGGAACCATTTCTGAACTGGAAAACCTTAACCTACTAATCATTCTTCATGAGTATGGGACATTAGCCGAGTCCAATTAACCAGTTTGGTCAGCTCCTGGAGCTCGGGGCAAGATTCCTGCTCGGCCTTAATATCTATACTTATTCTCACTCACGATACAATAATGTTGCATGATGCTGCCTATTATAGGGTAAATGTTGCTTCTTCGGAAATAGACCGCAATAAAGTATATATAAGTACATTCTAAATATCTGCTGCAGAAAAGTACCTAATAGTAATTAAAGCTTAAGTAATTGTAGCAAATCATCATTTGTATTAAACAATGTAGAAATTTATTCGACTACGAGACAAGTCGGCGAATATAAAAAGAAACATAGTATATTTGTAATAACGTCCAGTAATAAATTTAACTGAGAAACATATATATATGAGAGTTGTTTGGACTAATACCTGCAGCTGAGTTTAATCATCGGACTTCAAGGCAGAATATAAACCGTCCGTATCACCTTGACGTCCGTCGTTCCACAACTGAGAGGTTCTTAAAGCAATTTCTTCCGCCCACCACTATGTAGAATCAGCTGCCCACTGAAGTATTTCCGAACCAATTCGACTTAGGGTCATTCAACGAAAGAGGGTACCAATTCTTAAAAGTGAATATGAGTGTCCAATGTACATGGGCGGCGGTATCACTTAACGGTGAGCCTCCTATTACATAAAAAGAAGAAAAAAACCATTATATCAACACACAAATATACAGTATTTACTTGATAATAATGAAATATTAATTAATAAAAACATTTATTAGAGACACTTTTTCTCTAAATATTTGTTTAATTTGATAGCCTTAAAACATAATTTTTGTATAATAAAGTTTAAAGAGATAGTTTTCAATTTAATGTGTTCTTTCCTTAAGGCAACACTAAAATAAGAAAGATAAATTAGTATTTACGATGAACGGAAACACAAAACCAATTGTAGGTAAGTAATAATTTCCCTTCGTAAATAAATACCGTCTAAATCTATACATATTGTTCCTTAATTTATTCTCAAACCATTGCAATAAATCAAAACAGTTTCAAAATTAACAATTTTACTCTGCCAATGAATAGAATATTTAAGTCCTAAATGTATTTCCGCCACAAATTACCATTTCTCAGCCTAACACTGCAAGCCTACTTCAAATAAAACCCGTGTACCATTGTTTCTATGTATACAATATTTACGTACTGTATGAGTTACATCATTTAAACGACCACCACAGCGATTGAGGCTAATATTGTATATATTTTACTTGTACTTTGCGTACTTCTACAAATTTATTTTATTAATTTTAATACCTAACACAAGAGCGTTTTTAATGTTCATATTATATCCAATGTTAGATCCAGATTATGAAATTTAAACATATAATTTAGAATTTAAAGTAATCTTCTTATTGGTTCACCTAAAATAATATATTTATGGTAAGTCACCCGGGGCGAAACAACTAAAAATTTATAAATTGATACTTTGTCTTCTTACATTAGCTACCAATTAGGATGGTTGTTTAAATGAACTTCTTTATTCCAAGCCTTTCATTGAATAGTTCCGACATAAAGTACGTTAAAAATAGGCTTAAGTTATTGAATAATTTACATTCTTGTTGAATAAGAGCACTAAAAGTTACATTTACCCCACCTTGAGGTTAATGCAACTATCAGTTAAATGACCTTGTTGTAATCGTAATCTATACGTTTGGAATAAGGGTATATATAGTTTCACACTACAGGTATCTGAAATTGGTATCTAGGTGCTGGGAATAAGGCTCAGTTTCCAGAAAATTTAATTTAAATTTTTTATGGGGCGATGGACTGTCTCCCATACACTGTGTAGTGATAGTACGTACTTAAATTTATCGATAAATCTTCGTGAAAAAAAAATTCGATGAAAGTACCGAAAAATTATTAGTCTGATTTAAGGTAAAGAATTAAATTGTGATTCATAATATTAATTACAATATCTTGTGTTTATTTAAAAAATAAATCTTCATAGTAAAAGGTTTTAACATTTATTATAATCAAATAAACCTAAGACAAGATAGGTAACAAAAGTAAGTACAAAACGCAGTCTTGCTAAAGTTATTTTTTATTATTAACATCAACATTTTTGCTTAATGTCTAGCTGACTTACTTAATAATATTGGCATTTAATAATGGCATCATTAAACCTAAGATAATATTGATCAGTCCATACAGACGATCTGAGAGAGATTCACTGGGCAGATGCGTAAGTATCGTTCTGTCTCTGCAGATTTCTGACAAAAGAGCGTGACAGAACTGATACTTAATATCTACTTAGTAAAATTCTCAATTCAGAAACCGGGCCTCAATCTCAGTCGAAATTAAACTTAAACTTAAATCACTAAGTAAATTAATAGTTTGGCACCAATGTGCAGTCTTGCCATTTAACGAGGGCCTCATCCTCTATCTTTCATTGGTTTCATACCACTGCAATCAATGGTTGAAGAGTGTCAGATGAGTGTGGTGGTAATTGTTGATGTTTTCGGATTGAGCCAGCTTATACATAATCCCTGAGTGGAGTTCCGCATATAACTAAAACGGGCCTGTCATTTCCAATGGCAGGTAAAAATACGCTTTTGAAATATTTTTCAAAAACTGATGTCTCCATCCAGCCTTTCTGACTAACGGTATAAGCAGTTTTGACTGTTTGATCTTTGTAACACCACTCATTCCACAAATGTTTGCCCTGAAATATAATAAGCGGTGGGACTTTATCTCCGACTGCATTTGTTGCCAATAATACAGTTGTGTTATCTCTTCCCGGGGAACTAGTAGTTCTGGTGCATCGAACCCCTTTTTCACCAATGACTCGGGTTTTGGATGGATCATTGCAGAAACTGGTCTCGTCAAGGTTATATATCCTTTCAGGTTTTACAGTAAGATCAAGATCGTTCAAAACATCTTCTAATAAATCGAAATATTCATACACTGTGTACGGATTGCATGCCCGTTTACGGGCCATTTCAACTGACTGCGGTTTTTTTATTGATAAACCATTTCTTTTGCGAAAACCTCGAAGCCATTCATCACCTGGTATATCTTCTTTAAATGGCGTGATTAAACCATTTCTTTTAACGTATTCTGACACCAATGCCTTCACTTCTTTTGTCGTCAAAGCAAATCCGTTTTTTTCCATTATTTTCAAATAGGAAGATATTTCTTGCTCAAATGATCTTGAAAATACAGTATCTTTTCCAGGGTTTATCTGTTTTTGTCCACGCGTAGCATATACATGAGATATAATTGTTGACCGAGGAATATTAAATCGTTCCGCTGCAGCATAACTGTTTAACTTTTTTTGCTTCACTAGTTTTACAGCTTCAAGAAGCATATCTCGAGTATAAGCTTTCTCCTTCTTTCTTTTATAGTTCCGAACCATCTGAAAAAGGTAACAAAATTTTGGTATTTGTCTTTTAAACTTAATAACACAATCGTAACTTTATCTAAAGGCTTTCATAGTTTTATAGTTTGAATGTATTTTGTGCACGCCTAATCTGCCTTTCAATGACACGTATTATTAAGCTTTCTTTGTAAATAAATACAATTAAAATATTAACAAAAACAATATATAAGTTAAAAAAATACGTCACAGATACCGAGGTAAACACTTTATGCAAATAGATAGTGAACTTCACTTGTTGAAATATCGACACGGAACTTCACTAGTGATTTGATTTTTCATACAAATACAATGGGGCTATTGCAACTGCAAAAATAGTTGCAATTACCCATCTGCACAAAAATTTGAGGTTAATGTAACTATGTCAATAAAATGGTAATTAATAGACTTAGCCTTTAACCAAATATACCAAAAGCACTTACGTTTTATCTTGATATTAGGATGAACCTTCAATTTGGCTGGAAATAACGTGAAATATTTTTTATGGCACAAATCTAAACAGACGGCGGCGCAAAACGTTGCTCCAAAATGGCGGTTGTCAAAAAATGCTCTGTCAGTACAACAGTTAGCGACTTAAAAGCTCCATCTAGACTTTATAAAATAAAAAAAGGGTGCGTGTACTTATGTACGCGCGTAAGAAGTTATACTTCTTTGGCATTATTAAAAATAGTTTGGCTTTGTTCCACCAGCCACCTCCAGTTTTTGATGTTTCACAGCGATAAGATGACAACTCTTTTTTTGTATTCAATTTAGTGCACTTACACTGATTCATCAATTGTTTTTTGTCTATTGTCCGTATATTTGCTAGATTAAATCAGAAAAATTACATGTTTTGATTAAACAATGTGGTCATTTTTTTAATCAAAACATTACTCGATAATAATAATACATACGGTTAGTTAACCTCAATTGTATTGAAGCACTTAGGAAGGTTGATCAGCACAGTTTTTTCACAAATATTAATTAGTATTGGTTTAAATATTCAATTTAAATCACTTCTGATTATAATTCAAAAAGCATTGCTAAATTTCTTTGAAAAAATAATTAAAACTCCTTTATTTGTTTAAAAGGTAAATGACATGTTTTATTCGTTTATATGTCATATGGTCTTCAAAATTCTTGGCATACGAACTTCACCATATTCTATTTCTTTTTACTTGTAGATTGTCTTATTCCTATCTCGCTCGCGCACCTATAATCACACTCCTAATTTTGTGTCACAGGTCCGCGCATTGTAAAATTTCCCTCATAAATTTTTCATAACGCGCCTAAAGAAGTATAACTTCAAAAACGTAATAATTGCTCTACTCTTCAACAGATGGCCGTTTTACAAAAATCATTAGATTGTGAGTAAAATCAATTAGTCACTTTAGCCCCATAGTTGCTTTCGCCCCGGGTGACCTTATATGAATTTTTTATCCGTATCACCTCGACGTCCTTCGATTCACAACTGAACGTTTCCTAATGCAGTTTTTGCCGCGCACTATGTGGAACCACTGAAGTATTTTCGACCCAATTTGACAATATGACTGTTTATGGGCGGTATCACTTAACGTCAGGTGAGCCTCAGAAGTTGTTAACTCGGAGCTTATTACTGGTAGCAAATTAAACCAATGTATGTGCCGACTACGTTTAAGAAATTGACATATGTTTTGTTTGTAAGGTCTATTTTACGTCAGTATTTGATCTATTAGCAGTGGTGGCCTAGTGGCTTCTGCGAGCGACTCTCATCCTTGAGGTCGTAGGTTCGATCTCCGGCTTCCAATGGACTTTCTGTTTATGTGCGCATTTAACATTCGCTCGAACGGTGAAGGAAAACGTAAGGAAACCGGCTTGCCTTAGAGCCAAAAGTCGTGTGTGTCAGGCACAGAAGGACGTACTCGCCTATTAGATTGACATATGATCATGAAACAGATACAGAAATCTGAGGCCCAGGTCTAAAGGTTGCAGCGCCACTGATTTATTTTATTTCATCTACGCATTTACCAATTTACGCAGTGCCTTAAAGTGTCTGCTACGAACTCCACGTAACGGTAAGGAGATTTCTATAAATCATCATTTGTCTACCTCACCTCAAACATTTGTCTTAACACTAATGTTAAAGATTAACGATGTCTATCAATGATTGATAAGTGGGAGGTCGGGACCGCCAACAGTCATCAACATCAAGAAACACTGTCAAATATTGTTCATTATTGTTTGCACGGAGTAAACACTTCGAAAAGCCTGTCGAACGGGGAAAGATCTGAAGTGTCAATATGAGAGCGTGCCCGTACGTTTTTGGTTTAAAGCATTTACATATTGACGAAACAGACTTGACTTAAAACTTGAATGTTTTATTTCTAGTAGCTTTAAGATTGTGTATTTGTTTTTATGAAAACGTTGTTAAAAATATTTTCGATGGTTTAAATTTGTGCGTAATAAAGCACTAGTATGTTTATGGACAGCTTTAAGTAAGTATTAAGCAACTCTAAATTCGGCTGTTGGACTCACAGCTGCACAGGTACTCTGTAATACCCAATAGCCATTGCGATTCAAGCTTTACTGACTTTTCATATAAATTTCAAATGAAGACTGTGAATTCAGCAAAACCATAACCGTTTTTAAAAATAGCTTATTAATCAGCATCCAAAGAAAAAAGCACTTGCCAGCCTTCTGGTGTCCATGGTGGTGTCACTTAACAAAAGGCACCATTTTACGAATCTATACGATATTTACTTGTTTAACTCTAAACTAGTTGGCATATTTATTTACTTAAAAGTGATTTATCATAAACTAAATAACATTTAATACGAAATACTATTCTGTCAGCAAACATTCATTCATTACTTTTGAAAACGATATTTAGATCACATTTATACACGTTGTTTATCGAAACACAGTTTCTAAGTTGTTTTAATAACCAGGTAGAGACATTGTTCAATGTTTATAAAAAGTTGCAATTTTCTCATCAGTTCACAAAGGTTATCATCCCCATACACAGGTAATAATGTGAACCGAGTGAAATCGAACTTAGGACAATGCCATTGAATTTTTGCGATGTCGTGCGATTTCTCTGCTATTATACTATATTGGGATTTATATTATAGCTTATAAAACTGTTCAGTCACTGTTCATAATTACAAGTGCTAATCGGTATTCATTTCATCTGGTTGTTCTGTTAGGATGATATTTAAGACCCAGATACCAACGTGGCCAACCAAAAAGGGCCAAGAGACGGCGAATCGTATCGCCCGTATCCCTGACCTTGCCTGTGTCCGGCAAATACTGAGACGAACCTGACGGCAGCACAGAGTAAGAGAAACGTTTACCCTGCCTCCCGTCCATAGAGAGCAGCAAGGTTCGTTGGATTTCGTATTAGTGGTCCATTGTACCTTTTAGAATAACTCCCACAATCCCCTCGTCATTTAAATAACTGTTCTTGCGATTTTGCAAATAGATAAACAAAAAGATTTCTAATAAATTTTTCAACACTTACCTCTTTATTGTGCACTAAATAGTTGTTCAAAACATCTTGAGGACAACGGCAAGATAGACCCAAAATATGACCGTGTCTTTTCGCATATATTAAAAAAGAATAATTTATTCAAGTGAAACACGTGGTGGCTTTACTTATGTCAAAAAACTATAGTAACATACGACAGTTAAAAAAATAAATCAGTGGCGCTACAGCCTCTTTAGGTCTTGGAATTTCTGAATTTGTTTCATGATCATTTTTAAATCTAATAGGCAAGTAGGTCGTCAGCCTCCAGTGCCTGACACACGCTGTCGACTTTTGGGTCTAAGAGATGTCGGTTTCCTCACGATGTTTTCTTTCACCGTTCGAGCACATGTTAGATGCGCACATAGAAAGAAAGTCCATTGTGCATCGGGGATCGAACCTACGACTTCAGGCATGAGAGTCGCTGAAACCACTAGGCCAACACTACTATTCGACAGTAACAGTTCCCGCTAAATCCTGACGGAAAGACTACACGATTATCAAATAATTCTCATTTAAAAGCAATCTAAGACTTAATGAAAACACATTTATGTATTGAAATAAAAACATTATACGATCTCTGCTTCTAAAAGCAATTTTATGCATTACAGTTGACAGTTTTATTAATAAACATAAAATTTAATCAATTAGCGAAATTACCATATAAAATTATTTCCACATTTAATTTGTGGAAATTAAGCAAGTAATTAAACTCATATAAAACCGACCTAAATACGTGGAAATATCGAGTACAGCCTTGCGATTCTGTAACTCACTTTTCGAACTCTCACAGCGATTTTCGCAGCGGCGCGGCGGTCGCGCTCAAATCAGTCGTGAAGCAGTCATTTTACGATTTGGCATTCTGATAAACAATAAACTACAAGCTCCCTCCTTGTTGGTCAACGCTAAATGTTACCGAAATAAAAAAAATATACTGGACACACGGAGTCCCACATAATACAAGCATGATTTGGTAGAAAGGGGCTTAGGTTCAAGCCTATTTTAAGTGTTACAAAAATAATACAGGCGTCATTTAAAGGATTTCAAGGATTCAATGGAGGTGTACAAAATGCCTAATCCAAATCGCAAACCAATGCCCAAGCAATAATGATTTTGCGATTTAAATATTGCTTATAATATAAACGTCTTTAATCTCGTCTAAGCTACAATATAATATGTACAGTTTGCAGAGTCATGTGTTGTAAAACACTTCTAATAGGTGCATATTTTAACGGATAAGTACATAAAACCGTCCACTTTCAGAAAACGGTGATAGAAAACCAAACCTGTTATGGATTTGTTAATCATCGACAAATATAGCATTGCTTCGCCAAATTAAAAATATTCTAACCATATAGAACGTCATCAACAAGCGGAACTAGTCCAAATTTATTAATTTACGAAATACATTCAAACCTGGGTAAGTGACAACTGGATAAGTGAGAAAACTCTATAAGTGAGAGTAATAGCCGGGACCCGTCATTTTAAGCTCCCAAAACCTCTATTAGCGAGTAACAGAAACCTCTGTAAGAGAGTCGTTTTTCCCTCATGGAACTCCGTAAGTGAGACTGCTACTTATCTATAACTCTATAAGCGACAGTCGAACTTTATTTATTTATATTATTTAGGAGGAACTATAGCTACTATAAAAATACAATAAATATTCGACAAAATTTATGGGTTAGAGAAAAACATTCAAAATATAAAAACAGAAACTTAAACGAAATTGACGGATTTTTTAAAGTGTAAATAAGTTCTAAATAAAATATATATGTACATAATATATGTTGTGCACATTACACACAATTTAATCATATTATATATTTACCACATTCGTACTTGCTGTGACTGGTTATTGCTCCGTACCTCTATAAGAGAGAAACGCTACACATGAAGCTGCATTAGGGAGCGGTAATAAATAAAAATAATGTTGTTGTTTACAGGTGAGAGCGATGCGGGCGGCGGGCGGGGTTCCCGAGGCGGGGTAGCATGGCCGCGCTGCTGCTGCTCATCACAGCCGCGGCCGCCGCCAGCCTCGGTGACCTCACAAGACGGGAGACTGGCGACGTCTTCACTCTTATCGGTAGGATTAATAATTAATGATATTTAAGTCATATAATGTTTACGTTATTGTGTTTGAAACTCTCCTAAAGCTAATATTCTTATCCATATTTTGAGCGTACCGATACTTAAAAAGCCGGCAACAGCATTGAGTGTCCATAGCGGCGGTATTACTTAACATTAGGTGAGCCTCTGCCCGTATGCCCCCTGTTCTATAAAAAGAAAACGTCTCATCCTTTCAAATTGTGTTAACACTTTGATGAATAGAGATCAGATTTTAATAAGGAATTTAGTTTTCCCATAGATGCATTTAAAATACATTCTAAAAACACGCCCTGGTCGATTAGAAGCCTAGAAACTTAGATTGTATTTTAAGACCATGTTCATAAATTATATTTTTTCAATGAGATCTGGTGTAAGTCATCTTTAAGCCCTAGAATCGTTAGAGTAATGTTTCGAAGTATAATAGGCCTTAGCAAGTAGCATTAGTTTAATAAAAGATTCGTTATAATTTACGGCAATACTCGTACTTCGCTAAGGATTTCGTTGAAACAAATTTCTCTTCTTTTGTTAAATTTCTAAACAATTTTTTTGTGTATACCTTTCATTTTATCTTGTATATAGATATGAACAGGCATAACATAAATATTAAAAATCCTTTATAGGCGATGAATGCGGTGCAGCACAATGTGCAGAGCATGGCGCTGGTGCGACGAACTCGTACGACGCGTCCATTGCCGGCGGCTGTGCGTGCGCATGTCCTCAACGAGCGCCACTTTTTAGAGAAGATAGAGAGCTATGTGTGGATGATCTACCAGGTAAACCTCAATTCAGTATCACCCGTGACAATTACTCGATTAAACTGTAGGACAACTGTATAACAATTTTCCGCTAAAAAAACACCCCCGACTACTTTTTTCGAAGACACTCTTCTTAAAGCCATAGCCATTATCGGCGTTGACATATCGAAAGACATTCAGTTTCGCGGTCACTCGGAGGGAAAAGCTAAATTAGCCTCCAAAAAGCTTGGTGTGCTCAGCAAGCCAAGATACTTCACTCCGGGCCATTGTATTTTGACCTACGGACAATTCGCCTCTGAATCTTAGCGAAATTTTCCCCAATGGCCCCAATTTTAGCGAAGCTAAGTTGACTTATGTATACGTAACGTACGTATAATACTTTTTGGTGCATCTAACCAATTTACGAGCCACGAGTTATCTGTCGTTGATCAGTAAAGAATTTGTCATTTAAGTTTTTGAATTAAAGCTAAGAAGTTGACCAATTAAACAGTTGTCACTTGACCGCATTACAATTCTAAGATAAAAATGCAAGCTCATTTAAGACCGTTACAAGTCTAAGTTTTGTGAAAGTTCCTTCGCACTTCAAAATGTATCAACTGTATGCAAATATTCACTATGATATGCATAAAATACTTAAAATATGAACGCTATGTGAATGTACATAATTGGACGAACACTGCACATTTATATAATTTTATTTACGCTATATATATCTCGATGTTTTACGAGCTATACAGCAGTGGTATTCTTGTCATTGCTCTCTCAGCTCTTGTGAGATACTGGAAATCACGAATTAATATTATAATAGATCTGAAAAATAAATTTATATTAGTTAAATAGATTTTATTCAAAAGTTAGAAGTAATGATAACATCAGAGGGACTTCACACGAAAGAGGAAAACATATCGTGAACTATTGAAAATGTAAAGTTTTAATTAGTCGATATGAAAGATAGATCAGGATTTATGGTGTTTGTTAATATTAAAGAAATACAAAGCTTTTTTTTATAAGACATTTTTAATCAAACTATTTTATATTTTTTTTAAAACAAGATTGTTGCTAAGGCAACCTTCTTGTATGCCATAATCAGTATATACATACTTCACACCCTCTTAAGTTTTTAGAGAATATATGTATATAAATTCTTTAAACCCAATTGTAAGCAAAGTTCTTTTAATCTAGGGCCATACAATGGTTTCGTTAGCATATCGGCTAACTGTATCTCTGTGGAAACATGTTCTACTGTAAAGTCTCCATTGCTAACACATTCTCTAATGAAGAAATGTTTAAGTTTAATGTGCTTAGTACGCTTATGGTACTCATAGCGTGGATTAAGCCGAGCTTCACAGTTGATTCATTGTCTAACTTCAATACTGGACTTACAGTTTCAGTAAGTTGGCGAAGTAGGCAATTTAGCCACAAAATTTCTTGTGCTGATTCACTAGCTGCTATTAGCTCTGCTTCAGTAGATGAGATGGAGACAGTTGCTTGTTTCTGACTTCTCCAGCTAATTGCAGCTCCAGAAAATAAGCAAATCATTCCGGACGTTGATTTCCCACTTGCTGGATCTCCACCATGATCTGCGTCACTATAACAAATTAAATGACCGGGAGATCTGCGTGTATAAGTTAAACCGTTATGTTGCGTGCCTTTCAAATAACGGAAAATACGTTTTACCAACATAATATCCTTTTTGGTAGGTGAATCAAGCTTTCTTGAAGCGACACCTACAGCATATGATATATCAGGTCTCGTGCCTACAGATAAATATGCCAAAGCACCTACTGCTTGTCTATACGGAAAGTTTATATTGATATTAACTTCCTCTTCCGTCTCAGTTTCTTTTATGATTGGTGTTGAGTGCTGATTTACAATTTGACATTGCATATTTTTCTAAAACTTTTTCTTGTGTAAGCCTTCTGACATAATGTAATGGTCTTGTCTTTGCATATGTCTATTTCTAATCCAAGAAAAATATGAAGCAGGTTTTATTGTTATTTTAAATCTGGTTTGCAATTGCTTAATGAATTCATCACCCGCTGTGCTTGTGTTATATGCTACAAGTCCATCGTCTACGTAAAGACCAATGAAAAGTTTCGTTTGTCCTTTATTTCTAATATATAAACAAGGATCCGCTTCACTCTGCCTGAATCCTGATTTTCGTAAAAACTCAGCAATACATGAATTCCAAACAACGTGGAGCTTGCTTGAGTCCATATAAGCTGCGTTTCAACTTGCAAACCTCGTTTCGTGTTATCGGAATAGCCTTCAGGCTGTTTCATATAAATCTCTTCCTTTACTTCACCATATAGGAAAGCAGTTGAGACATCGAACTGCAATAATTTTTAAATTTTCTTTAGCAGCAATTGCAAGTAAAGTTCGTACTGTGGTCAGACGAACTACTGGGCTAAACGTCTTATCATAATCGACACCAGGTATTTGGGAGTAACCCTTAATTACAAGTCTGGCTTTGTACCTTTCAATGGAACCATCAGGATTCATTTTAATTTTATATACCCATTTACAAGGCAGGGCTTTTCGTCCTTTAGGTAGATTACCCAGTTCCCAAGTTTGGTTGTCATTTAGTGAAGTAATTTCACTCTGCATAGCGTTTTGCCATTTTTCTTTATCAGTAGAATCCATCGCTTCTTTAAAGGTCGAAGGTTCAGTAGGTTTGTGAACATTTTCAATTTCTTCCGCTGCGGCTAAGATAAAATCATCATAACGCCTAGGAGCTGTGATATTTGATCTACTTCTTAGTGACCTTATTTGAACGGAGGCGTTTTCTACATTGTCATTACTGTTTACTGCTTCTCCGACACCGTTTTTAACAGGGTCTTCAATATTAGAAGAACCAGAAAGTGAGTCGTAGTCACTTTCAATATTTGTTGGTTCCTGAATATTTTGTTCCAAAATTGTATTGTTATCATTTTTCGTGTCAACATTGTTGTCATATTTATCAATGTCATCAAGCGTCATAGTAAGTTTATTTTGTAGTGTTTGTTGTGAAGACAATTGTTGAGGTTTTGCTGTAGACTCAATTTCATTAAAAAGTGTTGAAATTCCGTACTTGTTTTCTTCTGTAGTACATGCATTTCATAACTCGAAATATCTTTCGAAGTAATGATGTTGTTTTTCGAAGGAAATGTAGATTCTGAAAGCTTTTGACGTTTCAGAGTATCCCACAAACATCCCTGGAATTGCTTTAGGTGCAAATTTGTGACCATTAGATCCCTTTTTCAAAACAAAAGTCTTACTACCAAATATATATAGATGATTTACACAGGGCTTTCTACCAACCCATCGTTCGAATGGTGTTCGATTTTGAATGGCATTGTTTATGTTTCTATTTGCCAAATAATTAGAAGTAGCCACTGCCTCGCTCCAAAGTTTCAATGGTGCATTTGCATCTATCATCAATGCTCTTGCTTTTTCTAATAGGGTACGGTTTTTACGTTCAGCAACTCCATTTTGGTGTGGAGTATAAGGTGCGGTAAGACGTCTTTGAATACCACACTGTTTTAAGTAAGTGTCAAACTGCTTATTAACATATTCAGTGCCGTTGTCAGATTGTAAAAACTTAATTTTGTTACCTGTGTGTGTTTCCGCTAACCTCTTTGAACCTCTTTGAATTTTTCAAGTACTTCGCTCTTATTTTTCATTAGATAAACTCTACAGTATCGACTGTAGTCATCTATAAAAGTAACAAAGTATTTATTTTCGCGTATGGTGGGCGTCTGAATAGGTCCACACACATCGCTGTGAATGATTTGTAAACATTCTGTTGTTCTTTGAGTTGTTTTATTACGTGGAGCAGGTTCACGGTGCAGTTTTGCTTGTATGCATACTTCACAGTCATTCAAATCTTCCGATGCATCAAAATTTAAGCCAATTAAGTTTTCATGTCTACGCGCATATTTCAGATCTTTTACGTTCATATGACCCAGTTTTCTATGCCAGTCATTAATACTTGATAAAGTCGTTGATTCCTTCGGAGGAAAACTTGTGACCTTATCATTAGTGACCAAATAGTTCCTTTCATGTTGATCTGGTTTCACATAGTAAAGACCGTCTTTTTTGTTTATATGCCGTTAGTTTTATTCCATTTTTAGGGTTATTTACAGTTGCTTTATTGTTAGTAAATAGCACAGAACAACCAGCATCTGTCATCTTACTTACGGACAGTAAGTTGGTGCAAAGGTTCGGTACGTATAAGGTGTCTTGTAAGCGCGTTATTGCCTTACTGTTGCCATTTTTAGTTATAAAGGAAACTATTCCTTTACCTTTTATCTCTGCAGTGTACTCGTCCGTCGCAAAGTTAAGTTTTCTGGATGTACTATCTATTGTTTTAAATAAGTCTCGTTGATAAGTCATATGAGACGTGCAACCACTGTCTAATACCCATATGTTGTTTTTAAGTTTCTTATTATTTGTAAAAAGGCACTGCATTATGTAATTATTTTTATAGAGAAGAATCAAATTTCTTAGCATGTTTTACCTTTATTTTCCTTCCAGCAGTTTGAACAAATTTTTATGGTGTTTGTGTTTAAAGATATTACCTCTTCGTTTACAAACTTTACACGATGCATATAAAGCTTCTTCTTGAATAGAGGATTCAGATTCGTCGTCATTGGTTTTATTGTGATTATGGCGAGCTTCATATTCTTCAATTATTTTAATTTTTAAGCTCTTCAGGCTTAGGAAGAACATCTCGTGATTCAATAGCGACTCTGAAGTTCTCGTATTCTTTCGAGAGGCTGTATAGCATTAATATTGTTAAAAGGTCTTCATTGATAATTATGTCCATGTCTGCCAGTTTGTTAACTATATCCATGAATTTGTTTAGATGACTTTGTATCTCATGTCCATCTAATTTATTTAGGATTAGTTGTTTCAGTAAAAAAGCTTTACGGGCAGGTCCTTTGCTAGCGTAAATGTCTTGTAGTTTATTCCAAACGGCTTTTGCAGATAGGCATTTTTTAATTTTGGTTAAGCTTCAGAGGGAGAAATCATAAGAATTAGTTCCGATCTGGCTTGTCTGCTCACCTTCTGTTTCAGCTGCACTTGGATCCTTACTTAAAGGACTTTCAATGTATTTCCATAATTTGTTTCTTACTAGGACTGCTTCAGCCTGTATTACCCATGTATCATAGTTTTCTTTTTGTTAGGGGATCTATTCTTGCGATCGACATTTTTTTATTTCTTTTTTTTTTTTTTTTTTTTTTTATTCCTTTTACTCAACGCTCTGCTACCATGTAAAGTTTTAATTAGTCGATATGAAAGATAGATCAGGATTTATGGTGTTTGTTAATATTAAAGAAATACAAAGCTTTTTTTTTATAAGACATTTTTAATCAAACTATTTTATATTTTTTTTTTAAAACAAGATTGTTGCTAAGGCAACTTCTTGTATGCCAGTAATCAGTATATACATACTTCACAGAAAACAAAGTAAGATTTATACAGCAAAGATACTTAACTTTGAAGACACACGATGAATCCTTGAAAACCCTTTACAAGGAGGATCGTTCAAGATTGATCCTTAAAATTTTTATTAAATGGTGTCGAAATTCATTCTTACAAAATTCACCGTATACTTACAAAAACACAATAATCCAATGTTTTAAAGGGTCGTTTTAATAATTAAAGTTATAAATATATTCAGAATTAAATTCAACGCTTCAATGTGGTCTACTTATCAAATGTATTAATTTCCAATTGAAATATCATGTACTTTATGACAGGTGTTCGGAAATTTTGCACCAATATTGACCATAATAACCATGTCAGAACTCGCAATATTATTATAACGTTATTGTATTTTATCTTGCATTTTGGCTAAGCCTAAATTATTGCCATAACATGACACGTTTATTCCAGAATGAACGTTTATATAAGGTGTAAGGAAAAACAGAATATTTTATCTCGAAATAAACCTTTTGGTGTTTTGTGTAAACGACGCTGTCGTTTAATTTTTGACAGTTTACAAATGTAAAGCGCGGGAAACATAATGCGTAAGTTTGTAATGTAAAGTCGTCAGCTTTAAAAAATTAGGATAACTAAAATAGTTGTAAATACAAATTATAGTTTAAAAATACTGTACGGTTTCCCGATATTTTTATATGAATAATATACGTTTATTTACAGAATGCGCTCTTGCAACTTTTGGCACAGGAAATGCCATGCAACGAATCCCTTTTGTGTTTTTGCCACTGAAGGGCCAAATCATTCATCCTTCCCGGGAAATAACTTTTCAAAGTAAGTTTATGAAGTGTTTATAATAATATGCCCGCAAATGAATATATTTTTTTTTAAATAATGAAAATGAACAGCATATTGCTAGCAAAAAATGAAAAGGCGAATAAATTTGGCTTAGTTGACAATCTAAGGCTATGTTCATATGTAACGCGCGTTAACGCGCGTCAACGCGCGATCAAATTTGAAGAGAGTTCAGATGATGAGCGCTAATGCGCGTTGCGAGAGTATTCGTCAGTCTGGTTCGGTAGAACGTAGAAAATGGACGTGGAAGAGGCTATTATTTTGTGGTTATATTATAAAGAAAAATATAGAAAAAGAAAACGTACACATTGGGTTCATCCAATTTTGAAAAATAGACCCAGTTTGTTATAAATATAATTACGAAAATTAACAAAATTACATGCGATCGCGATGAAAGCGCGCGCTCAACTGAACAGCATACGGACATTACATTAATATCAAAGCGCGCGTCAACGCGCGATCACCTGCGTCTAGAGACTTTTTCTCTGAGCGCCGCGTTGACGCGCGTTAACGCGCTCATGTGAACAGTTGTATGAAAATACCACAATGTCTAGTCGCGCGATTTGAAAACGCGCGTCAAGTTTTTGCCATCTGAACATAGCCTAAATGTTTCAAGCTTATGTTTCGGTAAAACAATCATTTTGAATTTTAAATCGTTACCCAAAAACATAACTAAATAAAAATAACAAGCGGAAAAGACGTTAGAAATCTTGTGATAACGTGGTTATCTTAACACAACTATTCAACAAAATTAGTTTTTTTAAAGATATATCCTTATTTACAGATGTCAAAACTCCAATATGTGCTGTATCGGGTGCTCAGTTTCTTACAACTAAAGGCTTTTTGGATCTCCGAAATACTCTGGATGCTGACGTACCATTTAGCCTCTTCAGGGATGAGGGTCGAACGTTTTTGCAGGTAAAATTCAGAAATACGTGTCTTCATATTGTAAGCAAGATGAAAGTCTATAACTCTTACATATTGTTAACTATTCAATATTATAGTGGAGCGGTGAAGACGATGTTCGCACGCGCATGTCGGGTCGAGTGATGGTCGTGAGACTCCTGTGTCGAGATGTCTCTACCTCTCCTGCATCACCGCTCGATCTTCGAGGTGTATTCACTCCTTGTGTGGCCTTTAGAGTTCAAGGAACTCCACCCAGGCATGCAACTAGTAAGTATATTTTATAGAGGCCAACGTATTATTATTTGGAATAGCTGTCAGCTTTCATTTATGTATAATTAAAAATAATATTACTTTGCTTAGAAAAGTTGAGAGGTAAAATAAAAAAAACAAAACGAATGAATAATACTCGAACTTGAATTGATATATTTAAATGAATTTCAGATATTACTGAAGTGCAATTCACACCAACAGCTCATACGTCAGATACACCACCGTCAACTGGTTTGAGTGCTAGCGAATACGTAGCTATAGGCATAAGCTCCCTCCTACTCGGACTTATCTACGTAGCCTCAGTTTTCCTGTACCTACATATAAGAAAACGGCGGAAAGCATCTACAGAAGAAAACAGTGCTCGAAGGACCAAAGGGCGGAAAAGAGACGGCACGATAATAACTGAAAGAGATATACTCAGAATCAACAATGAACGAGTTCAAATTTCAAATGCTATGGGAGAGGAGGGTGTCATTAAAAAGAATCCACTCCTTACAGTTGGAAGGTCCTTTGATAAATCCTACCCAAGTGATACTTGTAGCAATTTATCAGATTCTGAAGATATGCCTGATAGTAGTTTGAAGAGCGAAGATAATGTATTCAATGTGAGTAATTTTATCTTAAATAATTCACATTAATTGGAGTATCAATTAAACTTTTAATGTTTTCAGAAAAGAACGACATCTGCAATAATTCATCTGCACAATGAAGAATCCTCAAATCCGTTTGAGAACGTGGAAATAAATCACCGGGATGAGTCTGGAATAGAACGTCTCCCAGACGAACACGTGTCTATAGTAGAAACAATTGATGATAGAGAGATAGCGCGTCCTGTTGGTACAACGAGACGAAAACTATACTTCAATCCGGCCTATTTTGAACCTCACTTCATGGCTGTAAGTTTTAAGATGTTATTAGCATATTTTCCATGTCTAAGTAGCCGTAAATTTTACTGATTTTATATAAAAAGTTTGTGTATATGATCAGCTTAGTTTATAGCATAGACTTTGTGTCTTTCGTAGTTAGGAGTCTTGGATTGATTACATACTTAAGATCTTATTAAATTACAGGATCCTCCAGCAGCAGCAATAGAATTTCTCTCTAAAATACGCGAAGTAATATCCATAGCAAAACAAAAAATGGCGGCCAAACGTTTTCACCCCATTTTAAATGAAATACCAGAAGAAGAAACTTATCCTTCTAATGCTAACAGCATCGATCTTTATCATGGACTTGGTAGCCAACGGAGTGGAAGTGTAATAAGTCTCAAACGTGATAATGCTAGGCGTCGATCCTCCGACTGTTTAGGGTGCCCTGGGTGTCAATCTAATACTAATAATGATATACAAAATATCAAAAAACACAAAGTTCAAAATTGTTCGAATTGCTTAAATACTAAAGGCGATAAACAAAGCAGTATCCGAGAATGGCTAGAAAACATACCGAGTGAGAACGACGAACTTGTCGAAGATTCTGAAACAGACGATCAAATACGTATGCCAAGATCTTTACAAACTCTACCTGGGGTTGGAAACCGAAATAAGGTAAAGAAACAACATAGTTTTTCAGATAGATTTTCTATGTTTTCAAATATATCGAAAAAGTCTACGTCACCATCCGTAAGATCTGAGCCTACATCACGTAATTGTAGTACGATAATGCCACAAGTGAATGATGCATCGGATAATATAAATCAAAAGAGTAAGTTTACTGAACTCCGATCAATTAGTTCAAGAAGCAACGATTCTGATAGCCGTATTAGAAATATGACCAATAACAATTCTTTACCAGATATGGTAAATGACGCTATCGCGTTGGATCAATTTTCAAAGTCATATAATCATAATAGTTCTGACGAAGAACGGTTTACAATCAATTCATCTAAACATATTATAGATAATACTTACTTTAATACCTCGGAAAGTCCTATAACAAATGACTACGAAACAGATAGTTTAGAACGCAATTCTAATAAAAAAGACATTACAACATCATCAACACCAATCGAATTTCATGATATCCCATCATCTCAAGCAAGTCCTAGTTTAAGCACTGCGTTACCTTTAGAAGAAGAACTTACAATGCGAAATGCTGTATATAAAAGAAACTCTAGTAGTGATAGCAATACCCCATCCCCAGAAGTTGATTTATGTATTAACCAAAACCACTACGAAACTGTCCATGCTAAAAGCCCGCCCCAAATTGAAAATAAAGACGATATCGAAATAAAGGTGCCTTCCTATAGCTTGGTTACCGAAGTATATGTTAATAACAGTTACAACTTTAGTAGTGCACCTACTTCACCAAGTGGTTCTGAATGCTCACTAGGTAGCAGAAAACTGGTAACAATCCCAGACCTTAACGAAAAGCCTGGGTGTTTAACAATTGAGGTAAAAGATTCGCCAGAAAATTACATTAAAATTCACGAATCTGATGATTTTGAACCAGATACTTTGGACCGTAAACAACAAAAGCATAAAGAAATATTTGAAAATATGCAGTTCAGTCGCCAGGATCTTTTGAGAAGTCTTGATAACCAAAGCACGAAAAGTTGCCAAAGAATTCAGCTGCGCAGTAGTGGCACGTTTCTGCGTAATGGTAAAACAGAGCACACTACCAAATTCAATAGTTTGAGGTGTGGCTACGACATAAAGAACTGTCAAGTTCGCCCAATAATGTCCCCTAATATCTTTACTAACTCTTCTACGCACGAGGAATCATCGGACAGAAGTTTAGAAGATTCAGGCGGTTGGACGTCAGAAGACGGACGAATACTAACTTTAGAACTAAGACATTCCAAAAGGCAGCGTCAGTGTACACCACCCACAATAAAGCAGAAGCATCTAGCTCGGCCAGATGTTCTTCCTCCGTTGCCTCCAATCGATAATCCTATATATGAAAATCCAACAAGCCCTCCCAGAAGAGTTGAAAGTGGTAGAATTATTCTGGATCCGCGGTCAAAAACTGTATGTGAAAGAAGTCTTAGTCCAAGAGACCAAAATCCCTCCATCCAAGAATCACACGTATGTACTCGTGATTTAATTGATGCACCATCTTGTAGTCCTATGAACAGCTCATTCCAATCACACAGCATATCAGAATATGATGACATGAACCAAAGCAGCACGTCTCACATCTCGAAACCTAATGAATACACTATATGTTCAACTAGACGGAATTCATTAAGAAGCAATAGCGGAATAAATACAAACACTTTTGTCAAAGACCAAAAGTTCGAAAAACCAAAAGTAAGAAGGAAGAAGGGTTTAAGTATCGAAGATTCGGGGTATCTTAGTAGTGATTCTACGAGCTCAAGACATTTTCAAAGGAAAATAGTGATAGCGAAAATAGCCAGTTGTAGTGATAGTGATGATACTGGTAATGAAGCTCGAAGTGAATCGGGAGCTGAAAGTGTAGAAACACATTCTGTGTACTTTGGTAGTTTCAGAAACTTACAGCCAAGACCTGAACACAATACTATTAAAAGTGTTAGAAATAAACTAAAAGTTAAAAATTAATAGGTATAAGTGTATACAGTATAATATAATATATAATAAGTGCAATAGTTTGTGCAATAAATTAGTTTATATATGTTAATTTAGTGAATTACTTGCAATATAATGTGCAATATCCGTAACTTGTTATGCAGTATAATATATAATAATGTAGTTAAAACGTGATGAAGACGAAATGGCCGGTTGTGCAATGCAATAATAGTGTAGTTAGTTTTAAATGGCAATACAAAGTAAACAAGCTTGTAATAATATTGTTTCCGCTTGGCGCCTTAGAATATTATAGTGTTATTTATATTATTTTTTGTCTAAGTTCCTAATTGGACATGTCCTTCAGGTAGGGAATAAAACATATATCAAATTAATATATTTAAAAATATCTATTTTATTATAATAAACACAGATGTGTAAATAATAATCCAATTATATTTTCTATTATTAGGTAAACTTTTGGTTGTTCACATTAGGTGTTCGTAAACGTGTGACGTTTTCTTATAGTTATTAGGATCAAATTTCTTAGCTTCATAAAAATAATTAGTAAATAATGTTGACTTAGTCAATGGTAAATTATATTTTATATTGTAAATATCGAAGATTTATGAGTCGGGCGGCAGATTATAGCTTCCTTGTACCTGACAATAGTGCTCCAGAGAGACGCACAAAGTGCTTCAGTTCTCTCTGTCAACACAAGAGCACATTTCGTTCGCTACATGTTGGGAAAGAGCAACATATTCTGGGTATAAACATTTCTCCTTTTTTTAAATATTCTTAGCAATGGTAACTAGAGACCCTTTGATTCCTAACAATTATAGTTTCTCATTGGTTGCCACAGAGTATTGGAACTTGCTTTAAGACAATACAGGCATAAAGCGATTGGTTTTCAAATTGCATTTTTTACTAGTATACTCTGCGTTCAAAGAGAACAGCAATTTTTTTAGAAATGTCAAAGCTCATAGCTCATAGCTGGCGAGCAAAATATGATTTGCTTATGCGGCAGACTTCTTTAATAGCGATAATTAACCGATAAGGAGACCTAGATGTATGTATATATATATATTTTTCGTTATCTAAATGGTATTGACCATTAACTCCAGAGGCAGATACGAGCAAATGATTTAGTATCGATTTTTTTTACAAATGAAAACCCCTGTAGCTTAAAATTTTAATAAACGAAAACTTTGTCGTATTCCTAACTTTAATGCCTATCAATACGAAATATGAGCAGATCATATACTTACAAGCTCGCCAGCTGTTATCGCTCACTTCAATTATCTGCTTCTAATCATTAAAGAAATTGTTTGTTTTGTTTATTAAAAAGAATCGGGTTTATTAAGAATGTTGTAAATTTTCCAACGTGTATAGTATATCTAATATGGTTTTGGGTAAATATTTAATGAATAAATATAGCTGATGTATGGTGCTTAAAGGATATCCGGGTATTTTTATGTTAATTGTGTCTTATTATTTATTGCCGAATTAGAAGATGCTCAAAATATAAATTTATTTAGATATTAGTTTTATAATTAAGCATAGACAATAATTTTTATAAAGACTCGTAGCCAGTATTGTAATTTTTATATGCTTAGATAATAAAAACACTGTGTAATTAAAATAATTTTTTTTCAATAGTTTTTTATTTCTATCACAGTCATCTTTATCAATGCATGCAAACTAACTAGCGCCATCTATGATGTAAAACAAGAACTGATTGTAAACTAATCTAATAATATCTAATTATACGAATGATGTGTTTATAATTTCACAGCGACTAACACCTGTGCCCTGTGTATTTTATACAACATCGAGAAGTGAAAATCGAAATAACAAAAAAATATGAAAAAAATAACACAATCATAATATTTTGTATTTGTTTTTTTTTTATGGCCTGTACCAGTACCTTTTTTATTCAAAGATAAGTGGCCAGTATCGTAGCGTACATATAAAAACTTTTTGTCATGAGCCAAAAAGAGAATCATCATCTCTGCGTCGACGTCTGCCTCATCCAGTGATGATGTATTTCCTTAGCAAGTGTAATATAAACATGATGACTTTAAATTACGGATAAAACAGAACATTCTTAACAACGCCATCTATATTCAATCATTAGAAACTTATCACAATCCCTGTATACAATGATTGTGGGGTTTTTATAGTAATTCTGATACAATGAATGATGTTTTCCCTTACAGTATAAAACAAATATTAGGATTAAGTAATAACGCTAATAGTTTCACTGTTTTTTGTGAATATTCCAAGACGATAGACATGATTCTGGGATATTATATCGATAAAGTTTTGTTTCAGTTGCAGAATCGATACTTAGCGCTAACTTTGACCGTTTGTCTAATACTTTAGTCTCTATAATTGTTTATTAGAATTTGTAACAATTTTTATATAAGGAAATTTAATATCACATTTCTTACTCACTATATATTATGGCACTTTAAGTACCAATGACCATTTAAATTAAGTAGCCCAATTTAGGTTTTCGCCATTTTATAAATCTAAAGACTCAACCGACATATCTTCAGAAAATTTCTCCATTTTTATTGTCTGGACTCCATTCGAACTTTCTTCTAAAACTTTGTTTCGGAACTTCAAAAACTCTGGCAACCCCACGGACAAAAAATGAATTTGTTTCCCAATTTGAGCTTTTATCTCTGGTTCTGTACTATTATTCATTTTTATCATACACTCATCGAAATATTCTAATACTTGTTTGGATATATTCAATAGGCTTGACGCATAGTTTTTGGAGTCAATTGACATTTCAGTGTTGCTATTAAAACGGGCTAAATCGCTGGTTTTAGCCGATACAATGTGGTCTGGCAGAGTTACCATTATTCTGTGCGGAATTCTGTCATACATGTAGAGGATGAATGCCAGTACTTGTGCGGTTGACCTTAAAAAAATAAGAATTATTTCGTGAAACCAACAAGGCTATATTATCTTATATATGTATAAAACAATGTCGTGTTAGTTACACCACACTCAAGATCGGCTGGACCCGTTTTTGGTGGATTCTTCTCCGCTCCGAATAGCAGAATAAGTAATAAAATATGGGCTAAGTTATCGAATAAAACTAAATTAATAAATTTTACGAACACAAACAGCGTGTGGTGCCATCTGTTGACGAAATTGGGCATATAAAAAAAACCTACCACTTTGTTCTTGCGCTGTATAACAAAACGAAAAATGTTGTATATTATAAAGTGCTTTAACATGCAGTATCGCAATATTGGCGCTAGAGAGAAGAGGCCTAATGTGTAAAACTGCCATTCTTCTTTCGCAATGGCAAGCAATAAAACATTTCTGTATTTGCAAAAAAGTTGTATTAATGTACAGTGAAATTAGTCTCGAGAAATTTTTGCATATGTAGTGGTGTGTATATTACTCAGATCTTAGAGCGCGTTTCCACTATATCGTTCTGGCCTATACAAAAATGTTTCGATATCCTAACATTACTATTTAATATTATACTTATCCCTAGCAACACTCTGATTTTTGTTATCAATAAAAACAAGTTTTTATTTAAAAAAAAAGGTTTTGACTTTATAAAAAAAAGGTGTGTGCGCGATTCACACACGATAGAAGTGAAACTTCAAAGAGGAGAGACCGATATATATTTTTTTTCCTTTCATCTAGGTTTTTAAAACTCCGGGGGTCTACGGGGGGTCAAAATTTATTTTTGGCCTAGGACGCACCGTTTCCGAGATATTTCAATCTAAAGCAAAAAATCGTCACTTGATAGTGGAAAGTGGAAACACGCACAAAACCAGAATAAACCAGTTTACGCTGTCCGCAGGTGCCACGTGCAGTCCGGCGTCAGTCGCTTGGTACTGTTAGAACATAAAGCACACATTTCATTCAAAAATTATAATTATTACGTTAATTGTTAAATTTTGTATTTGTTGATTGTTGTTATTGTTTGTTATTATTGTTATAATATTTGTTGAAGTGTTTAATTTGTGTGTAAGTGTTGCAACTTTATATTGTTAATTAAAAATGGCTCCAGTGTTAAAACATGGTCGAGGCAAGCCTTTGACTTCTCAAACTAAAGAAGTTTTGTACTGTTTGTACAAATATTTCGAAAATGAGTGTAATAACAACCCGAGCAGTATTATGACTCCCACTCAATTAGTTGCTAAATCAACGGGAATTTCAATAGCATCCGTCAGAAAGGTAGTATCAGAAAGCAAATGTCGACCTTCAGATCAGGAAGTAACATTTAAATCTCCTAAAAAGAAACCGAATCGTAAACCTACAATAGTAATCGATAACTTTGATCAGCAAGTTATCAGAAGAACAATTCATGACTTCCACATCACAAATAAAGAAATTCCCACTTTGAAAACTTTGCACGCAAAATTAAAAGAAGATATCGATTATAAAGGTTGTGTCAGCACGTTACGAAAACACGTCATGTCATTAGGTTTTAATTGGAAGCAAACAGAAGATAACCGGAAACTTCTTATGGAAAAACACGAAATTAGATACTTGCGAATTAATTATTTGATGAAAATTGCTGAATATCGTGAACAACGCCGACCAATTGTTTACACCGACGAAACATATATACATACATCACATACCCTCTCGAAATCTTGGTCAGATGGAAGCACTTCAGGTTTGAAGCAACATATATCGAAAGGCAACCGCTTAATCATTGTTCATGCCGGTGGTATGGATGGCTTTATACCAAATGCATTGCTTATGTTTAAAGCCAACCAAAAAAGTGGAGATTACCACGACAATATGAACTATGACAACTATTCAAGGTGGATTCAAACTCAATTAATACCCAACTTACAACCAAATAGTGTTGTTGTTGTTGACAACGCACCATATCATAACTCAATACAAAATCCTGCACCGAATAGTAATTCTAGAAAACAGCAAATGATTGACTGGCTGACATTGCGAAACATTGAGCATTCATCCACGTTGCTTAAGCCTCAATTATATGAACTGATTCTGCAAAACAAGGCGAGATTTGTAGAGTACAAGATAGACGAAATATTACGACAGCACGGTCATACTGTGCTGCGTTTACCACCATACCATCCGGAGTTTAATCCTATAGAAAATATATGGGGGATAGTGAAAACATATGTCGCAAAAAAGAATGTCGCAATGAATATGAAGGTTATAATGTCATTAGCTGAAGAAAAAATGAACGCCATAACTGTAGAGGAATGGAGAAAAGTTTGTCTGCATGCTATTGAGGAGGAAAACAAATATCAGGGTAGAGACGCAGCTTTAGACACAATATCAGAACGAATCATAATTAATTTAAATAATTCATCTGATGAAAGCGAGGATGGGGATGATTGTGATATGCCTGGGGTTGATGAATTATTAGAATAAAACATTTATGGCCGGAGAACACCTAATTCATACACGTCTTCACTGAAGTGAAAACCGGCATTCACTGCTTGTAATATTTGGAACTGGCTTATCTGCCTCATACAGTTCCATAGATTACAATGCAGTGGATACACATTTTCACGTCCGTATTAGTACGTAGTGCGTATGCGTAGACGTGTACGCATTTGGTGTGCTCCAGCCACAAACGTATATTACCTTTAAAAAAATAAAAACTAAAAATAAAATGTTGTTTTTTTTTATTTGCTGACCATACACTACTACAAACGCAAAAATTTCTCCAAGCTAATTTACCTGTAATTACCTTAATGAAATCCTAAACAAGGTTTAACACACGCAATATTTTATGTTTTCGAATATTGATTACAAAATTGAGTATCGGAATAATTAAACAAATCCAGGGTCTGAATCTTCGAAAAATAACTCAACAGCCCGCCAAAACGGTGGCAGATAGAGAGAAGGGTGCTCAAACATAATTTGATTAGCTACTTTGGGTGGTGATGGCAGGTTGTAACTGTGGCGGTTTGTACATAAAAGTAGTAATTACTAATATCCACTGTGAAAACGCCGGAAAACTAAGTTTTGCGTAGCTGGGGCTACAAGGGAAAAATTCACCTCCCCCAACAATTGGGTTTTTGAAAAAAAAAAATTTTTGTGATAAATGAAAAGATCATATAAAAGTTTTATAGCAAAACTATTTTTGTTTTATTTTTTTTCGCAATAATTCAAAAGTTATTTCAAAATAAAAATTAATATTTGAATCCAGTACCGAAAACACGCCGAACAATCCCGAGCGCGTGTGACGTCATAATGTTAGTTTTCACTCATTGCAGTTGATAGAAAAATAATAAATACAGTGTTTTGATCTATTTAATTTTGTTAATTAATATTAATATTTAATATATGAAATATACTATATATATACATATATATTAATAGCCCTAAGAGCTATTACGCACTGTCGACTTGTCGCTGGCGACTCGGTCGCCTCGTCGACCAAAACATAGGCAACTAGGCAGGAGACCAAGCCGAGCGACAGTATTCCAAGTACATTCGTGCAGAATGGATGTCGAAGAAGCTGCTATAGTAGCGCTACTAATCAAGAAAAAGAAAAATAAAAGAAAATCAAGAGAGTATTGGGTACATCCTTTGTTACAAGAACGAAGATCAAAAGGAATGTTTAAACTATTTTATGAAGACGTGAGAAAATACCCTCATAAATTTTTCAACTACGCAAGAATGTCTGTGCGTTCGTTTGATGAGCTATTGTGTCTTTTGAAACCACATATAACTGGCACAGATACAAATTTGCGACCATGTGTTTCTTCGGAAGAAAAATTATTTATAACTCTAAGGTAAGTGTAAATTTCATTGTTTTAAAACCAGAGCTTTTAAGTAACAGTGCTTGCTCGACTTGCAGTGGCACTACCGTAAAAGCGTTGTTTAAATAAAAATATAAGTCTACAATAAAAATATTTGAAGTTATTACATATAATATGTAAAATAAATGTAAATTTCAGGATTCCAAACAGTAATACAAATTATTATCATTCAAATAGTCTTCCATTTTATAGTAACTCTTTTTTATTAATAAAGTTTTAACATGCAACTTAAACCTTTGAATTGGTAAGTCACTTACATGTTGTGGAAGTTTATTATACAGTTTTATGCTTTGGCCTACGAATGAATTAAATGTCTTTTTAAGTCTGATTTTGGGAATGGCAAGCTTATGTTTATTTCTAGTGTTCATACTATGACAGTCAGATTTTTTTGGATTTTTATATTCTTATGAACATATATAATGCAATCAAATATGTACTGACATGGTACTGTAAATATATTAATTTCTTTAAATAATTAATTGGGAGTCACGCGGTTTGAGACCATATATAGCACGTATGGCTCTTTTTTGTAACACGAAAATATTTTGTATATCGGCAGCAGTTCCTCACAGAACATTGATGCTGTAATTGCAGTAAATAAATAAAATAAAATAATTTGACATCATGTAATTATTGTTTAACTAAATCAATACTATATAAACTAATTTTAAATTCAAAGCACAAAAAATAAAATAAAGATTCAAAATAAGTCCAAGTAATCAGAATCTTGCGAGGCACTTGAAGTGGCAGTAGAAACTCGCGACTCTGAGCATTCTTGCGGTGAAGGAACTGAAGTTGGTAGAATATAATTACGCCAAACGGAGTTTGGATATACGTTATTTGGCGTATTGGTTCCGAATGAATCGATCATTGTGATTAATTGAATTTTCGCTGCTGGTTTTTTGTGATCAGGAATTTTCCTAAAAGACGATAAAAGGGACAGCAGAAACATTCTGTCCTCATCTTGTTCCAAAATGTCCGCGTTATTTTTACGAGTATCAATACATTTGTTCAGTGTTTCCAATAATTCTCTTGTGCCATCATCTGAAGGTTTTTTCTTCTTTCTTCCCACTATATTTTCCCTAGAGTACGGTCCTAAAGGTTCTTGATCAGTTGTCGACTTTTCTTCTTCCGTAATGCTACTCTCTGTATTTAAATTACCAACAGTATTTTTCAAAAACAACAGCTGTTTAAAATAAATATAGGGAGTTTTATGAGAAGCAGAAGACCCACTTTTGGTATTTTTTATTCTTCGTATTTCTCGAGCAAAGCAGCTTCTTATATTTTTCCATTTTTTTTGAAGTGATTGACCTGTAAATAAATTGTATTTTTTTTATTTCAGATATCTTGGAAGTGGCTGCAAATTTGTAGATCTGCATTACTCATATAGACTTGGGATTTCAACTATTGCTGAGATAATAAGAGAAGTTTGTCATTTTATATGGGTTTTACTGAAAGACATGTGTTTGCCACAACATACAACAGAAAATTGGTTAAAAATCGCAAAAGATTTTCATTTACGAGCCAATTTTCCAAATTGTATAGGTGCCATAGATGGTAAACATATAAGGACTATAAAACCTTACAATAGTGGATCAGTGTGTTATAATTATAAACACTTCTTTTCTATCATTTTGCTTGCCATTTGTGACGCTGACTACAAGTTCGTATACATAGATGTTGGTTCCTATGGAAAGGATAGCGATTCTACTATATTTACACATTCAACATTTTATCAAAAGCTAATGAATAATGATTTACAAGTTCCGGAACATCAGCCTATTTCATCGATAAATCCAATACCAGTACCGTTTGTCATTGTTGGTGACGAAGCATTTGGACAATCTGATAAAGTTATGCGACCATTTGGTGGATCAAATTTAACAACAAAGAAAAAAATATTTAATTATAGGCTTTCTCGTGCTCGACGCTACATAGAATGTTCATTCGGCATATTAGCAAATAAGTGGCAGATTTTTCACAGACCTATTAATGTAAATTTAGATCTAGTAACAAGCATCACCAAAACATGTTGTGTTCTTCACAACTATGTTCGGGAAAGAGACGGATATAAATTTGAAGATACCCTGTGCATTCCTGGCTTAGAAGAAGTGCCACCAGGTATTCAAAGAGCTACGCGACGTGGCATGTCATACAGAGATATGTTTGCTGATTATTTTATGACTGAGGGTCAATTACCTTGGCAGATGAGCAGAATTCATTAAAAAATAAATGACATTTATAATTTACCTATGTTTTTTTTTTCTTCGTCTAGTAATCCTTCACCTCCAAATAACTCCACTATTTCTTCCCACTGTGTTTTCTTCAAATCCCGATTCGAATATTCGTCACTTAATAAGTCCCAAATAGCTTTTCGGGATTGTATTTCTATTATAAATTTCTCGGTATCGAAAGCCTGAGCCATTTTTGTGCGCGACGTCCGGTCGTTACGACAGTTGCTCGCAGTGTGAATGCTTCCATTTGAAGCCGTGCTCCTATTGGTCGCCAGCGACCGGCGGTCGCTTGTGTGTCGCCACGACGCGGCGAGTCGCCCAGTCGCTTGGGCGACCGACGACCAAGTGCGTAGACATCTATTTAAACTGTAGAAACTCACAGTCGCCAGCGACCGAGTCGCCGGCGACTAGTCGACAGTGCGTAATAGCGCTTAACGCTGTACTGTTATTAAATAGCTTTAACATTATGACGTCAAAACTATGGTGATCATTCATGGCGTGTTTATAGTCACGTGATTTTTATTTAAATTTCATCAATTTTTAATTGTTTATAATTAATTGAAAACAGATTTTTTTCGAGAAAATGATGTTTAATAACATCAATATTATTAACAATAAAGTTTTAAAATACATAAAAAAAAATCAATAAATTTTTTTTTCAAATACCCAATTGCACACACTCTTAATAAATCAACTAATAAAAATCGATCATTCAACTTCCTGGAGGATCCATATTCCTCCTCTATCTAATACGATGGCGCCACTCAGTCATCACGGCCTCCGACTACCATAATTAGAATTTTAGTAAAAAAACAAAAGACATGCAAATCTTACCTTGAATAAACATCTATTTTAAAACTACCCATCTTATTATCTTCCATCAGAACTAATGTCAAGCCATGAAGTATATGAGTAGGAGATTTCTTGTGGACTAAGACATTATCCATGTTATCTAGGGCTTCCATATTTAAGTTTTTACAAAGAATTTCTAGAATATTTACACCGGGATCTTCCATATCTACATGTCTAAAAATAAGCTCCATTTTCTCAGAAGTAGCCATTAGCCCTAATACTTTCAATTTGCTATCTGCAATTTGATACATAAATATATTTTTATCCAAAAATAAATGTTTTTTCTGTACTTTATGGTTTTTCAGATTAAATTGTATTCTATGGAATTAAACCATTATGCAATTAATTGAATATGAGAAATCAACCAACCCCTTCTATTTATTTAACCAAGATCAACCTTTTAATAATATCAATCTTTTCTTTTAAAAACAGAAATGGCTTCAATTAAATTCAACTTCTTCAACAAATATTAAAATTATTAAAACACTAATACTAAATGTTGAAATTCTCAAATAAATCTAATCAAACCTGTATGTATAAATTTCTCTTTTGACAATATAAATCAGTGTTTCCCTATGTGGGGCCCGCACCCCAATTTGTGTTAAGGGGGAAAAAAAATATATCAATTTACTTACTGTGTATTGTTAACATTTTCCTAGAAATTTCTTCTTAAAAAGGAAAAATATGGTGTCATTTGTTTCTTTAATTTAATGATGTTTGAAATAAACAATTGTTGAATAAGGGTTAAGAATTTTAGTAACGCTAAGGTGGGGAATGGCAAAAAAAGGATGGAAACACTCATCTAAATCATGTTTAAGAATTCATGGGAGTGTAGTTTAAATTAAAACTGCACTACCATCAAATTAATGTAATTTAAATACCTTCATTGCTCATTAGCAATTCAAAACCCTCCTCCATTGTCTCCATAACAGATATTGAAACATTTTCTAATGGCAACACATAACTACTACCAAGTTTTTCAAATGACAACACTGCTTCAAATTCAATTTTACTAGACACACTATATTTCAATTCTCTCATGTCTAATACAGCAACAACAAAACATTCTTGATTACTCTTTATTGTATTTGTTACTTCTTTCCAAATTGTGCTCGATTCTTCATAGACTTTTGTTGTGTATGTAATGGTTTTATTGTCTATACCATGAAAGAGGATGTGTATATTCTCTATGGGTCTGAAAACAATTTCACAAAACTTTGTTACATTGCATTATTTAATTATAAATAGTAAAACTGTTTAATCAAAAACAATATATATGTAGTTTTGGAGAAAAGCTTGCCATTAACAAAATGGAATCTAATATATTAATTAATGATATTTCAGCATCGCTGATTTTGAGAAAATTGTTCAAATAAATTTAATATTTATTATAAATCATTGGTGTCAGTTACTTTATACTTGCTAACATTTATCCTTTTTTGGTTTCAACTGTTTGAAGGTCTTTTCAAATATTATGATGCTTTAGAATTACAAACTTACACATTATTTTCATTTTTTATGTTAACAATAACAGTAATTTTTTTATTGCAACCCTTGACCAGTGGTTTTTGTGTTCTTATACTTAACACCTTCGATATCTGGAATTTTATTTAATATCTTATAATAAACTAATTTGATATTAAAAATCCTAACGTATATCTTTGATATGTCATCTGTGCACATAAGAGAAATTGACTGCATGTTTAAGAAGCCCCCAAGAAAAGTAATAAATGAAATAGATACAAAAATAAGAGGACAAGACCGACCATTACAGGCATCACCAGTTATCCAAATAAATATACAACTATATAGACAATTAACTTACAGAGGTTGATGCTAATGAAAAAAAGGATTCATCAGTGTTTGGACTATTTCTTTCATACAAGCAATAAGCTGCAGTTTGTTTAATTTTGATATACTCGTCTAGAGTAGCTTGATTCTGTTTGACATTGTATTTAGCTTCAGTAAGCTTTCTTGCAAGTTGTGACATGATAGGAAAAGTTTCAAATTCTAGTTTTGGGACTTTAACAGGTCCAAGAAGCTTAAAGTTACAGTCATATATAAATGGCACAGCATCTTCTTTTCGTATGACCTTAAGACATGGCAAGCCGGAGAAATCAATATCAAGAAATTCATATCTTTCTACATTACTTATTAAAATATGTATGCTCATTTCTTCTTTCACAGATAAAACTATTATTTGGGAATTGGTATGTACGAAATAAAATAAATCACAACTTTCATTACGGAGAATAATTATATCGATGATGTCCGATGTGTTTTCTAACAAAAGAGAAGAGACAAGTTCTCTTTGATGAAACTCCATAACTTCTCCACGTTTTGTACATACAACGATATCGATTTTTCGGGAATCTTTGGGATGATCATCATAAAAACAAAAACAGGCGACTTCCTGAAGAATAGATGTTGGTAATAGTTCATTTAATTCTTTTAGGATACTTTCAGATTCCATTGGAATGTCGTTCTAACAGACTTAAAGTTAATACAACTTTTATTCTACTTGTACAAAGCGAAAAGTAGTATTTAAATTATTGTTACTGTACTCAGTGGCAAAACTGTGATGAACCAAAAAGGCACCAAAAAGTATAAGTTGAAAATTGAAAGAGATTAAACATTTACCGGTAAAACTAAAGTGACCCGCGACGGTGACGGTCCGCGACCAGTTAAATTATTGTCAAATATCATCTGTCAATTTTACTTCACTCAATGACAGCAATTGATACCTATTTAAAGTAGAAAATAATACATATTATTATCTATGCCAAACATATAAGCTATTAGTTATTACGTTATCGGTTATAAAACATTCTTCTGTCTGAGTACTTATAGAATATTTTTTAACCATTATCTATTTAAGTAACACAAGAGTATGTTCGCGTCAAAACTTGAACTTGTATACAAAGTAATTAATTATTTTACAAACTTTTTACACCATTGGTTACAATATTTTATGGATAGTCACGCCGACAAAAGTCGTTGACATGGTGATTGAACATCGATCCTTCCGGGTCAATGCACAGCAAAGATATAGATTATTCTACGCGAATAGACAGTAAAATAAAGGTCATTATGAATCCTGGCACCGCATACCATATTTTATATAAAAAAAACTATTATTTAAGCAGACTGTTGGGTATTTCTAGCAGGACTGATAGGACTGTTTTTTTTAGTTTCGAGCAATATTAAAAAATTAGATACTTGATCATATGATAATTATTAATGAAAACTCTGCTGAGCATAAAAATAAATGTATATCCTTTTTTTACTTTAACTATTATGCGGATCCTGGATAATAGTAATAAAAGGATAAATTCATTGTAATTATTGTAAAATACGGTTAACACCATACTCCAAGAATAAACAGCACGTTGAGAACGATCACCACCCGTCTGCACACCGTTGAGCCGCCCGGGTCGGTGTTACTAGACACTGATTTCTTGCGATTATTTTCAGATTTCCTGTAAAATAGGTGAGATTTTTTTAATTTTTTTTTTCGTTTCCGGCGCGCAAAATTTGTGGGGGGTGATTACTACACCCCTCCCCCCTCTCCTCACCCCCCGCAACCCCCAATTTGGGTGCATCGTTGTCGCATCGTTACCCTAGTTTTTGTTATTTCATTGTACCTCGGAAGTCTAGTCACCCACAACACTTAAGAATGTCCTAGTGCGTACCAGCGTTAAAAAAATGCAACAGTAGAATCAAAGAAAGGTTTAATTTAAGTATATATTTTTGACGTGAATCTTCTTTAGGCGCATGTGGATAAAAAATTTACGGAACGTCACGAAGATGTGCAGCGTTTTTGTCGAAGAAAAGGGAGAGAGCATTTGAGACCGATTGAGAGAGTGAGAAGGGTGAATTATCTTATAGAAATTCTATTTTTAAAATTAAAATTTCGTAAAGAGAATTTATGAAATATTAGTATTTTAAGTATATTTTATGCAAAATAATTTATTGAAATCGCAAATGACGAATTGTAAATTAAAATGCCACGTGTTTTTATTATCGAAGAAAGAAATTAAAAAAATATATAAAATTTGTTTTAATTTTCGATACTATTAATTTTTAATGACAATTAAATTCATAAAATTCCTAACATATCTTCCTTTTTCCCTCCCTCTAAGTCTCGGAAATCTAAGGTTTTAGATTTGTATACTTAAATATGAACAAGAGTTAAAAAATAGTTTGCCAAAGAAGTTTCACTTCTGACATGTGTACTTTGTATGCACGCACTTTTTTTAAATATTTATTACTATTAAAGTTAAATTATATAGAATAACGTTTAGGTACCAAAATATTTTAGTACTTTTAGACAGGTACGCAAATAGAATACGTGGGCAATGCAGATTAAAATAGTTACTTTGAATGGCATACTTCCTTTATCGAGTTAAACTCTGCATTGGTCTAGACTCTTTAATATTCCAGATCCTAGAATTAGAATTCCCGATAAATTAAACCAATTTATTGCAACCTAATTCCTGACTTCAACCGCGTGCAATTGTATTAGTTTTAAAATGTTTGTCAAATATTATTTATTTATGAATACTTCGTTGCAGAAACATAACACAAATGACATAATTAAATGAAAAGGAGGGCAACTGGCCTTATCGCTTTAGAACGATCTCTTCCAGGCAACCAAAGTGAAAGAAGTAAGCAAGAAGTGCTAAAATCCATAACCCATATAGTTATTTTATAGACTAAACTGAAACAGGATCAAAAAACTAAAGTAAAAAAGGAAACATGAATAAGAATTTTAATTATATCTTAAACGAAATCGAAATGAAATTGTAAATTATATTTATTTTATTATTAGACTGAGTTATTTCTATTTATATTAAATCTTTCTTTTTTATTGCATGTTATATAATATATTATTATAATATGTAATGACATATAAGATTAAAACAGACTTATATAGAAAAATCAATTCTGTAAAATGATACAATTATTGTATCTACCAAAATCTTTTGTTTTGGCTTTCTGTACTGTCTAAGTGTTTGTTTTATAATATTATGTATGTTAGCTGTAAGATTACTTATAATTAAAATCGAAAGGCATAGGCTTCGCTACCAGCATGTTAAAAAAAATTCGCAACGTTCATTTTAAAAGTAAAGTTCTTTGTCTCTGGCAAAATAATTTTTCCCGGGAATTATGTACTTCTGCAACTGTTTGACATACCACTAATACCAAATTGAAATAATATCTTTGGATGCGGACACTAAACGACACGCATTGAAAGAACCATCGCGAGATAACAGATTAAGGCTAGCAATATCCAGCTAAGATTACCTATATTGTATACAGAATTAAAGACAATGAAACCGTAAAGAAAAAGAGCGAAATAAAGAAACTGGGTGACCTAGATTTGCGCACTATACAGAAGACATGGGTCACAAACAGAAATCTAAAATCCTTTTTAATTTATTGTAAAGTAGGTATGTGTATGAGATGATATTGTGTAATTGTTTGAAATAAGTAAATGTTTTGAAATAAGCACTAAATTGTCTCTTTGCTATGTGATACGCGTAATATGGTCAAAGTACATATAATATATTCATTATTAATACTGTTGTACATATTTTATGGACATCAATAAATTACTGAAAATTAATATTTATATTCTTATCACTACCTGGCCTGGCGAACATCGTACCGCCTAACAGTCGATTCTTTATTTTTTTTAAATACTTATTCTACTATTCGGGACACCGGTCTAGCTAGTAAGATAAAAAAAAGAAAGTTGATAAGACAACAAATACATTATGTCAAAAAATAAAAATTTACCTTCCCGGAACCCCTCCACTAACATTTGAACTTTATGCTATGGTATTAAAGTTCAAATTGACTTTTAAGTATTATTGCGAATATTTTGTATGGGAATATAGAAAAGTGTTGTTTTCAGACTTTTTCACTCAATTTTTTTTTATTTTTCTCTCCGTAAGAACCATCCTCGTACTTCAAGGAATATTATTAAAAAAAATCAGACAAATCGGTCAAGCCGTTTTCATGTTATGTCGTGACAACGGAAAACGGGTTTCATTTATATATATAGATTTAAATGTATTATAAAACAAGTAGTATTGTATTAATTGGATATCGTATAGAGTATTTCTTTTCGTCGTACATATTATGACGAAAAGAAATCCTCAACCAATTAAGGCAATGTATAACCTAATAAGTTAGTGCACAAAAAATTCCATTATCATTAGTTATAACGGTTCATTTCACGAATGTGCTATATCATTACTGTTATAACGGAGTAGAGATTCAACTTTTTCATAAAACTATTACATTTTAAAGTACAGTCGTTAAGACGTTAAACACAATTTTATCCGTTATTGACAATTGACATTTTGATTTTCACAAATCACTAGCCAGCTACCATAATACATAACTATTAACCTAACTTCAGATGTCGCCATTATAAATAAAGTGAAGTGAAGTGAACCTAACTTAATGACAGACGGCCTGGGGCCTAGTCAAGATGCCTTAACAGTAGTGTATGTAGAACGTCAAAAACTAAATTTGTATGAAAACTTTTCGACACGAACTGTCATTTCCATACAAATTAAGTTTTCGACTTTCTACATACACTACTGTTAAGGCATCTTGACTAAGGCCCCTGGCGCCAAAACGTCTGTCCAGTTTATGAAAAAAGTAATACTAATCTGCGTCTATTTGTATGAACATTGTCTCTGGTGATTTTTACACATATTTTACGCAGGCGTAAACGTTTCATATTCAGCCAATTCGATGGTTGCGTTGTTACAATTCAATATTTAATTAATAATTCAATATTGACATACCTATGTTATTTATGTTATTTAGACCTCCAATACAAATTTTACCTTTTAAATTGTTATTTTTAGAAAACTACAAATTTAAAAATTTCAAATACCTTGTTTAAAAATGTAGTGTTAACATTACCGTTGTTAATACCTACGCGTTGATATCTACGTGATGAGCGACGTACAACATAACATCCTAAAAGGTTTAGAGTTTCTAAAAATATCAATACAAAATAAATGAGCAATGGTTCGGTACAAATAACAATCGTAATGTTCTCCAAGCCGATTCGACTATGGCGGCTTTTGAGACTGACTATAAAATAAAATAAAATAAAAATAAAATATGTTTATTAGGGAACATAAGATACATGTATCACTTATTCCACGTCATTAAATTTGAAGGCATCCCTACTCATCGGCAAAGAAGACAGAGGGTGTAGGCCGAGAGAAAAAGCCGGCGTAAAAAACTCTCGGTACTCTTTTAAAACAGCAAATCATCAAACAACATTTATTTAAAACAAATATCGCAAATTGATTAGAAGTAGCCTGTCTAGCACTAGTCCCAGGCCCTTTTATCAACTAGATAATCGTTGACTTTATAGTAAGCCTTTTTACACAGCTTTTCTTTAATACATTTCTTAAATTTATTGAAAGGCAGTGATAAAAG